AATGTATCATGCAGCAGATTCTAGGTGTCAATCAATGAGCGGAAGTTCTGGAGCTTTCGAAAAATCGGCTCAGGAGCTTTCTTAACATTCCAAGAACTACGTTAGTGAACCAACGATCACATTTTGCTGATCATTACCTGTCACGTTGTGGCTCTATGTTCTAGCAGAACTAGATGGTAGTGCACAATACTGGCGAAGCGCTCACTTACGCAGAATTGAAGAGCGTGGAGAATCTGGGAAGACGCTATCTTCGAGAATGCATTGTCTACAATGCCTCTGTTAGTGAGCATGGAATAAGCTCAGAAGGCTCTGCGTGAAAGCAAAGAAATCAAGGATCCGACCAAGACCGACCCCCTTGTTCAGTGATCTGGATAACCCTGACGTCCGCTCTGAGCTGCAGTTGATTTGACGCTCTGCCATACCGCACCTTCTACAGTGACGTTGCTGCTTACGATTCGGCACCAATTTTCTCGTCGTAGAGTGCGCAAGAGAAATGATAAGAGGGTAGTGGCAAAATTCGAGGCCATTGCTGTTTGGCTTTGAGGCTAACAGCAGCTGCTACTTCATGATGATGCTATTAATAGGGGTGTACACATTCTGCCGTCGCTATTATGGAGCAGTAGCTTGACTTAGTAATCCTCCCAGGTTGCCTACCAAGGTCAGTTCTCTAGCTCTCGTCTTGCGCTACACATATTGAACCTCTAGCTCGATGTCGCCAATTGACAGTGCCTAATTGCAGCACACTAAGAAGAGTAGTGATGGTTTATTTACCCTTTACTGCTCTCCACCTTGTTGCTGAGTTAAATCGTTTTTGAATTTAAATTTTTTTTCCACATTTTTGTTGACATATGTTACATCATGTCCGTTTGACGTACTAAATAATAAACAATAAACAGCCACTCACGTTTGCATCTTCTTCCTAGCTTCGTTGAAACAAATCCTTTCACCTCTTTTTTCGCTTCATAACCTGCAGTGGAAAAAACACATTAGGATTCGTAACAATACTGGGTATTTAACAAAATTTTCGCCTAAGGCGAAAGTTTTGTTCATGACCTGGTATCCTGTGAAGCTTTCGCAAGGCAAACTTCGGCCAAAAACAGCAATGAATAAACAAAAACAATTCAAATCTGGTTTATCATGAAATAACCGAAAAGTACGACATACGGTTTCCGTAGAACTATCTATTGTGTCGTTCAAATCAGGGTCAACCGTGACATTGGTGAACGTTTGTGGTTCAGTATGAAACCTTTCCCTTTGCCCTACAGCACTGAACCAGGTTCATTTCAGACATGAAAGCGCGGTACCAAGAAATGTTACAGCTATACTCGTGCGAAAAGTAAAGCCATAACATCAACATGACTGAAAATGCAACGTATTGTAATCCAGGGCTTATCATCGCACTTCCCAGCACTTTAATTTTATCCGAGCAGATATGAATCTGAATTCGAATCGCATATTATAGCGTCAAATGTTTGCTCCTGAGACGTTTGCGCAACACGCACAGTAGGCCGCTCGAGGGTGTAAAGTCGCGATGCATTTGAAGTATCATATATTTTTCAAATTATAGGCATGTGATAAAAAGACAACCGCCAATGTTTATTTGTGAAACTATATAAATAAAATGAACTGATAGGGTTGAATTCGAACTTTGTTTCTTCAACGCGTCGTTCGTCAATCGTCTCAATCTTCTTGTGGTAAACTTGCTCACGAGAGCGCGTCCTATGAAGAGAAGCAGAATGGAAAGGCGGCGACGCTATCAGGATATGCATTTGGTTTTCTCACACATCAGTTCTTTCTGAAGCCATACCTGCTTCTCAGCCCTTTCTTGAAAGAGGTGTTCAAGATAAGTTCAAAAGCTGAAGAATGAGCAACTTACCTAGTGGAGATACAGGCGGAGCCCTCTGAAATGCAAACCGCAATTCGAATGTGGAATGGCCGCCGCGCGACCTTGGCACGGTTCATCCCCCTTGACGCAGTTGTGCCGCCGGAAGACGATCGACCGTAGCAGAAGAGAGCGGTTAGCGGATGACAGCAGATCACCATCCACAATACGATCAGTGTCGTACCGATCGAATGAGACGGACACGAGACCACTTTTTCGGTTGTTCCGGGACTGTTTTACATGTTTCTTCTCATCCGCGTACTTTCCCATAGTTTCTTTCTTCATCCCTACTTCACTGGCCACCTCTACCCTTACCTCCAATAAGCTACCTTTTCATCGTAAAACCCGTCTTTGAACAAGATACTACCGCGCCTCGCACTTTGCCAACAATCGTCAGTTTGGTGCAATCCAGAATTTTACGACCTCCCTCCTAGAAAGTTGATACGACGCCCCCCCCCCCTTCCTGTAATAGTTATTGTGCGCCAATGCAGCCTGCGAGCGGCGCTTCGCATTGGCGTACATAATCCTATCACTCCATCACTCCGCCAGAGAGGGCTACGAACTACTAATCTTCTGAGAAATATAATTTCCTGCAGAATTTATATTTTTCATAAATCAAGGTAATTTGTAATCAACAAGACTGCTAGTCTCAGGAAACTACTATGATTGTGCTGTATCTAGGGCATGCTCTTCGTTATAAAGTAGCGAATAGGATTCCGTAAGAGTGTGCAACTTTTATTTCAAAGGTCGTAATTCTGTTCAAAAATTTAGAGAATTGGTAGGAAAATCGAAAATCGTTCCTCTTCGAAAAGGACCCAATTTATGAATGTGTACTTCTTCAAAAACCCCTGCTGAATGCTGAAGCCAATTTCAAAACTGACTCTGTTTTCAGAAAAAGCCCCGTTCATCGGTTTTTTCTTCTCCACGCGTTTTTCGGGCTATTTCCCTGGAAAGCCGATTTGTTTCCAAATGGTTACAACTCGCTTCAAATTCAGTTTTGTGGAATGAGTTGAACACCACGGCAAACTACATTTTTTATAACGTTTTACATGTATAACGTTTTATAACGGGTACTGCGCCTTGAAAAGTCATCCACACGCGTCTTTCTTTTTGCGAAATTTTCCTTTTCTTTCTTTCTTCTTTCTGAGCTTTGAAATGTCATGTCGCCCAGGTGATTACTCTTCCATTCACGTAGGTATGGTCCAAAAGCACGAGTCCCCTGAAGAGAAATATGAGCCGTGAGCAGCCAAATATGGACCGACTTGCCGAAACTACTTCTGCTCTGAGATTGGCCATGCACTTGTTTGCGGTCAGGTATTGAGGAAGCAGTGGACCGCTTCGATTTTAGTCGTTTAATGATGCAAGCCTAAGAATAAAACTACGAGCTTCAATCGCATATCTGTCTTCAGTTCATCATTTCTCTCGCGATTTCAGCTCATGATGCTCACACAAGGTACCGTGTAACGTTCAACACCACTTGCCCACATACACCCATGAAGACCTTCATGCATTGCGACATTGGTCCCTGCGCAAACGATAACCTCCCTTCCGTTGACCAAATACGACCCTCCCCCGTTAAAAAATCACCTCGGCGACTGGCTCTGGTTCAAATAACTGACTGGATGCTTTGGTTAAGTAATGGTAAAAAGTGTAGTTTTAAGGACAAGAACTACTCGCCGATGGCAGAAAAAAAGTTTCAAATCTTCTCCACCAAAAAATCAGAATCATCGCATTTTTTTGCACTGTACTTCCCTGTCTTCTGCATCGTGACTTTGAAAATGAAAAACATAAGTTTAGTGGCGTGGAAAAACGTAAAACGAGACTGACCACCTTCGTCGCCTTTCCCTGCGAGTTCCACTTCTTGCTTAACCGTTAGTTCCACTTCTTGCTCAACTGCGAGCTCTACTTCTTGCTTAACCTGGACCTTTGACGCCTTTTTAAATACTTTTCCCGATCTCTTCATTTCCTGAAAATTAGGTGAAGGCTTAAGAATGACAAAATTCAGCAAACAAATAAGAATAAATTCAAGAATCCTACTATATATAATTCGCTAAGTATGTCTGTGTGTGTGTGTGTGTGTGTTTGTCACGAAATTCATAGCTCGAGTCACAGCAACGATAGCGCCATGGTTCTTACATATGTTATAGGGGGTGGGATGGGGACACAAGTGGTACGTGATAGGAACTGATAACGACTGATAATAGCTGATAAGAGGGGCTAGAAAGCGAGCATCGCCAATTTCGTTTTTTTGAACGATAACTTGGGAAGCGTCAAAGGTACGAAACCGTTCCAGCAGTATTCAACACTACTCACTAATTGATAAGAGCTACACTATTGATGCTTAACAGTACGATGGGAGAGCGAAATTCCAAACCAAAACAAGCATGAAACAATTTGAGAAGCTTCATCAAGTAAAACGTAATCTTCAAACACACACAGAAGCGAGAGGAAATTGTATAAGGTCTCATACTTGATAGTTATCTTTAACAAATCTGAAATGTTGAACCAAATTTTGATCAAGTTTTAGCGAGTACATATATGTAAAAACAATCACTTCAATTGGCACGAATATATTCACAATTTAACACAGTACAGTGCACACCAGTTAGTTTTTTCACTTCCGAACAAACAAGTAATCACTACGAAACTCAACGCCCTGGAGGCATATTCTGTGATTGAATAGACATGAGTTATTGCGTTCTTGAGTGAAAGTAATTGTGTATTTTTGGATCAATCAGTAATGCAAGACAGCAAACAGAACCTCAAAAAGATATTGCGCTGCTCCTACAAGTGGTAACAGCTCGAGCACTGGCGCCTGTTTCAGTAAACTCGATGCTCTCGTTACGGTAAAAAAAAAACGGTATCGAGCTGGATCTGCCGAATGAGAACGGGCTATACTCGGGCTGGCCCGTACGATTGGCGCAATGTAAGCCTTTACAGATTTGTTTGCTCTCTCATTCCTGGTCAACCCGAAACACCACATCTACTTTCATTCTCGTAAGCCATAACCCATGCCTATTCGAATGCGGAATGTGCCTTTAACTAAACTTCATCTCTAAACGGTAACTTACAAACACAAGCTATATCATACCAAAGTGAGAAGAATCTTCTGATTCTTGAATGTCATTCGATAAACAATGAAAAGAGTGAAGATTATTGCAAATTATTGTGAAAAAAACAAGCATCTATGACAACATGTACATCCAGCACATGACCTTCCGACTGAGGTAAAAGCTCGTCGCGAGGGCCACAAGTACGCACTGATGACCTGTCACAGCTAAGGCAACAATTGAATCATAATAAATACCCAAACCTGATTGTAAGTCGAAACTGTAGAAATCTTTGCAATTCATAAAACAGCAGTCGCTCATGGTTCGCTAATACTACTCATTTGTATACGTAGAGGTCGCTCCTTTCTGCGGGCGACTGCTGCCATACTTTGCCCATTCTCCTTGATTTGGATTTGTTTTCTATCCTCAATCGATAGATCCTTCGGCGTTTCAGCAGCATCTCTGAAAGTGTCCATAATAAAGCACAGTTTACGACAAAGCCAAGAAATTGTAGCAGGAGAAAAGAACCGGTTCGGACGTGCTTCGCTTGGAACACATTCAGATAATAGGTGTTTGAATGCCTTTTTACCTTTGGTAAATGGTCTGACGGCTATTTTCTTGTTGTTTATTTACATTTATTCAAAGTTTATTCAGTATTCACCTTTCCTACTACAGTCAATGTAGCGCCATCTAGGGCGCATAGATGAGTAAATAAAATGAATAAAAATCCACAACTACTAGCAGCTTTACCTAATTTGGGTAAATTTTTTCGAACTAAAAAAAACGAAAGTCGTACATGAAAAAGCTTTTCTTAACCTATTGTGCTACTCACTTGTAATAGACAACTCTGCCACCAATACGCTCAATAACATCGTTCGGTGCATAAGAAGGTTGGGCCGAAAACTTGACGGCTCCGTCCAACATTGACAATCGACTCAACGTAAATGGCCATTTCTCCCAAGAGCTGCCAATCTAAAAAAAGAAACCGAGCAGATATGGTACACGCAACCTATAGCAAAGCAAACACATCTACGCACTTCTGTAAAGACAAGCCTGTCGACAGGGATGCCTGACAAAGAAGATACACTATGAGCAAATGCTTCCATTTGATTTGTAGCTTTTGAATCGACAAGCACTTCGTGGATACCGGACACTTCAACGGTGGAGGGTCTGAATCTACGAACCAGCAATGGCACTCCTGGCTGACCAATCAAACGCTCGTCTGTAGAGTAAAGATAATTAGACAAACAGCGAAACATTTGAAAATTGGAACTGCTTATTCTTTGAAAATATTAGTTTTTAAGTAAGTAATGAAAGATAGTGCTGAATAGATTCTACATTAATCTGTGGAACGTGCCTGGTACCATTGCGAAAATAATAGCCAAAACACTACTCGTGCATGGCAAAACTGTGGTGTTTGTCATCAAAGATAAAAGGACTCCGAAGCTATGAAATACTGCTGAGACTGAGCTGCAACTTCTACGAGAAATGTTATAGTGGTACAAAATACGATGCGGCCCAATCCGACAAAGCCGCTGATAAACATACAGTAGTGGCCAGAAATTTATAAACAGACGGTTTTTTGAGAATTTCTTCTCGCAAAATCGCTGAATCGTCTCCAAATTTGAAACAGTTATTAATTGTTTTCTGACCCACACAAAAATATCAACCTTCAGCTCAAAGGGGTTTGAAAAATTATAGATTTTTCGAATTTAATGAAGGCAGGTGAAAGATCACTTGATCCGTTTATTTGATTTAAATAATGTATAACCCAACAGAACAGTCAAGTAAACAGTCACTAACATTAAGCAAGTCTAGCACATTGCCCAGAACTCTCTAAAGTATTGGATACATAAACTGGATTTGAATGCGGGTCAACTAATGAACTCACTCTCTAGTGGGGTCTCTCTCTGTAGTCCCGTCTTTTCGTGGCTCTTTCATTGACATACGAATTTGTAGGTCCTCCCCTAGTGGTTCTGTAATGTTTGGCTCAAGAGTCTGGCCTGGCTGGTCTTTTAAAAGCACCCCATGCTGTCGAAACCACTCCTGCATGTGAGAGGCATGCTTTGAGTCGCTGCTCTGCCGACAGACAAAGTCAGGTCGTGCGGCAGCCATACCTACGGATACATAACACCTTCCAAAACATGACTGCCTTCATCGCTACCTCAGTCGTGTAGCGTGGTCCCACTTTTTTCCAAGGCAACCTTATCAAGCCTCCGCCAAGTTTCACAATTGGCAGCTGATTCTTTGGATCAAAACGTTCCCTCTCGTGGTGCCGTACATTACTAGTATCCTTGCTGTCATGCATCAGTAATATGTTTTTGTCATTCCAGATGACCTTAGAAACCTGTATCAACCTTCGTTTCAGGCTTAGTCAATCACATTCTACTCCCACCCACTTCACAGCGAGCGCTCTTCTTAGACTTTGAGAACTAAGGAATACGTAGTATAGACTTAGATTCTAGAAGATGTTATGTATCCGTAGACATGGCTGCCACACGACCTGGCTTTGTCTGTCAGCAGAGCAGCGACTCAAAGCATCGGCCTCTCACATGCAGGAGTGGTTTCGACAGCATGGGGTGCTTTTAAAAGACCAGCCAGGCCAGACTCTTGAGCCAAACATTACAGAACCACTAGGGGAGGACCTACAAAGTTCGTATGTCAATGAAAGAGTCCACGAAAATAAGCGCCTACAGAGAGAGACCCCACTAGAGAGTGAGTTCATTAATTGACCCCCAGTTTATGTATCCAATACTTTAGAGAGTTCTGGGCAATGTGCTAGACTTGCTTAATGTTAGTGACTGTTTACTTGACTGTTCTGTTGGGTTATACATTATTTAAATCAAATAAACGGATCAAGTGATCTTTCACCTGCCTTCATTAATTTCGAAAAATCTAAAATTTTTCAAACCCAAATTTGAGCTGAAGGTTGAAATTTTCTGTGTGGATCAGAAAACACGTAGTTAATAACTTGTTGCAAATTTGGAGACGATTCAGCGATTTTGCGAGAAAAAATTCAAAAACCGACTGTTTGTAAACTTCTGGTCCACTACTGCAGTCAAGAAGCTAAAAGCTATCCCTAAAGCAGTCATTGCTGAAAAAAGGCTGTCACTTTGGATTAATAGCTGCCAAAATGTCCCACTTCATGCTTCATCCATAAAGATAATCCGGCGTGAGAACTTCAAGATGCTTCCCAAATGATTACGTCGGCGCGCCTCGAGAGATGGTCTTGTTCGGTAGAATGCCGCACGATGAACTCAACTTCCGATCAAAATCATGGAGGACTCTGCCTAAGGACGGTGGAAGCTCACGATAGATGGAGAATCGTGAATGTTAGGGAAAGCAACAAAGTCATGGTTTGATTTGCGACTAGCCATGAAGTCGTGTCCCCACTTGTTTTTATCGGACAGGATAATCTATCTAAAGCAGAGGCGAACCTAGAAGGTGTGCAGTAACATTTCCTTTTCCTGGACGAAATCCCACAATAGATACAGAGCGCTCGTGTTTCAGCAGGGTGCAACACTGGCTGATAGATCGAAGACGACATCGCAGCAGAACACCAGCACTGGTATCACCACCGCTCAATTACGATCAATCAAAATGCTTACTTCAACAGAGTGGAATATTTCGTGTTGAGCTTTTAGAGAGCAAGGCCTGCTCGTAACAACACCACCCAGCCGCAGACCAGACAACGAACCTGCTCCACGTTTAGGGAGAAATTTGTTTGGATCATATACGCGCCACAGTGAAAGACGAAAAAACAACAACTGAAGGTTAAAGCTGGTTCCGAGGAGATGTAAAGCGGGGTTTGGTGAAGACAATTCATTCGTGAACTTCTAATAGAAAACGAGCCATCAATGTTTTTTTGTGCATCACACACCCCACCTCTATTTGTAACAGAATATGTTCGTGAAATTTCAGGTTGACACAATATCTTCAATGGGCCAGCTTATATTGCGGGATAACTGGCCGATCCAGAAAGTGTAGCAAACCAAATTCGCTCAGTGCCTTTCAGCACTTACCTCAGGTGGAACCTAATGGATTAATGGAAATCAAATTTAACGTGCGAAGCAGCGACAACACATCGCACTCCCTCCAGAGCGGCGAAGCGTGGCCAACGTCACTTAGTGGTTATAGCGACACAACTTCAAGAAATTAGAAAAAAAGGCAGAAAAATACTATAAAATAGAAAAGGATAAAGCATTTGCCGTTGATCAATCCCTTTTGGGATGCGGCACGCATTCTACTTCCATTTGTACATTCGTAGTGGCGTTTGAATGCGATGTGGCCTATACAATGACTTGCGGGGGCCAGCCGATGTACAAGTCAGTGTTTTTATCCTCCCAGACAAGTCTGGTACCAATTAACCGACCCCGGAGGGATGGAAGGCTTGGTTGGCCCGGGCGACTCACGACCCAGGATTTGATCCCCGGACCGCTCGCGTGGTAAGCGCGCCACTTGCCACTACACCACTTCCGCCCGTAAAATAGAAATAAATGTGAAAAATAGTCTTATTAAATTGCTATATTTGAAAGCTCATTTGAAATGCAACCTCACCTGATATTATTTGAAAATAAATATTGTTTGACCATTGAGCTCCACGGCAATCCAAAGTATCAGCAGGATTCAGAACAGTTTTCATCGGACGACTGAATGATGGCATTTCTCGTAATCGAACCCTGAAATCCGGCACACAAAAAATACGAATAACGGATGAAAACAAAAGTTTACCCACTGGTTCATTGTCAGTCGTTGTCCATATATCTCTGCATAAAGATGAATGCACTGCAACGTTAAATCTCCAATGGGCGTATGCTTCGACGCTGGACATTCAAACAGGACCCTCCAATTTTCTCGCTGAAACAGTTCATTTGAGAT